ACACACACACACACACACACACACACACACACACACACACACACACACCAGAGGCAGTGGGGGGTTCAGTGTCTTGCCCAAGGGCACTTTGACGTGTGACTGAAGGGTGGTGGAACTGAACACCAGCTGTGTGTTCGTGTTGATGTTTGKWGATTATTTGCTGTCTCGTTGTTAGCTGGAGAGAAGAAGATGATGGTGCCCTCCTCTACAGCTGGAGGACAGCCTCTGTTCTCTCAGAGCTCTCCCTTTCAGCAGGGACACTCGGGGAAAAGCTTCAGGTACGTCCAGGTGCTCTCAGTCCATCACTGTCCATTCCTGCACTCTGAACAGCAGCTAAAGCTAAGCTAACACAAGAACTAAGAAGAAGCTAACTGGTTTTCTTTGTCTTGGGGTCCCAGTTCTTCTGTGATTCATGTTCCTGACATCCAAACATCAGGCTCATCCAATCAGAACCTGGCCCAGATCTCCAGGCAGCTGAACCCAGGACAGGTAGCATGGTCCGGTAACCGACCGCCCTTCTCTGGACAGGTAACACAAACAGACACGTTTCCTCCTGGATTGTTGTTCCTGCCGACCTGTTAGCTGATGGCCTGATTTACATACATGTGTTCTCCAGCCCAGTAAAACCCAGTCCAGTCCATTTGGTATTGGTTCTGGACACAACTACCAAACAGACCCAGCCTCCTACAGTCCCCTGTCATCCCCGGCCACATCTTCCCCCAGTGGAAACGCCTACTCTGGCTTGACCAACCGCAGCACAGCATTTGGTAAGCTTCACCTCTCATTGGTTAGGTAGTCTGGGATTAAGGTAGTCTGGGATTAAGGTAGTCTGGGATTAAGGTAGTCTGGGATTAAGGTAGTCTGGGATTAAGGTAGTCTGGGATCAGGCAGTCTGGATCAGGTAGTCTGGGATTAGGTAGTCTGGGATTAGGTAGTCTGGGATCAGGTAGTCTGGGATTAAGGTAGTCTGGGATCAGGCAGTCTGGATCAGGTAGTCTGGGATTAAGGTAGTCTGGGATCAGGTAGTCTGGGATCAGGT